ACTTCATACTATTATTTGAATTTGACACGATTATAAAATATTATAATACGATTCCTTGACCGTTAGAACAGAAATTATAAAACAACGTATTTAAAACTGATGATCATGATTTTAACGGAGAACAATAATGTAACAGGTACAATCACAGACGGTACCCGAGACGATGATATTTATGACACGCAAAACGAAGTCCTATATACACATACACACGCACACACCCGTATGTGCCGATGATAGTAGTAGATTCATAATAGTAAATAAATAAGTGATTTTTTTCCCCTCAAGACAAAGCAAACCTATATATTATTATGAAAATAAAAAAGAGTAAATATTATCGGTCTGTGTCATGCAATTATGCAAAAGTGTAAACATAATTATCTTTATATTTTGCCCCTTACATATAAATAAGCAATTAGGATCGGCACGCATATGTTCATTTACTATTAGTTAGATGACCTTCTCGCACAAATCATGTTGTCGGAGAAACACACTATTACTCTAATTAAACCTGACAAAATAAAACAGCAGCATTCATAGACCTATTAACATATTGGCGGCAAATAAGAAAGCGCGGATAAAAGTAATCGTGGATTAGTAGAAAATGGTAGAAAATACTATTTGAATTACTTAAGTACCTACTTAGGAGTTAGGATAATTTTCCTAGAACAGCCAATTCATTCAACGTATGTGTTTAATAGTTACTTTTTGTATATATATAACGAATACATCAAATCAATCTATGTATATATTTATGACTTGAATGAGTATCTTAAATAATTTTGTCATAAATATAGACGTGGGCCCGTGGTATGAAAGGGTTAAGAAAGGGTCAACAAAATATTTTGAAAAGAGTTCAAAGATGTCAAGAGGTAAGGAACCAGTTTGGCTTAATTTTAAAATGTTGAATTTAGGTTAATACGATAAAGTTTTATTTGGGATAGGTAAATGTTGTTTATTCCTTTTGTTCTATTTCTGAAAGTGACGACGAACAAACTTTGAAAGTTTAATTGTCCAACGACCAATTGCCCAACACGTTATGAAATACTATGAACACTTCTTTTCGTTGTTCGGCGCCACTGGTTACTGTTAAAAACCCAGCTATATTGTTACAGTGCGCATTTTAATAAGCTGTGTAGCCCGTGATTTAAGGTTTGGCAAGCTTTTAGTTGTTACATTATACTTTTAAGACGTTACAGCTATTCTATTAACTAAATTTAATATGATTGGTGTTGAACCAGGGCTTTTAACAGGCAATTGCCACGAATGACTTAACAACAAAACAACAATGTCCGTATAACAACAATAGTATAATAATTTATTACAGATCAAGAACGTGCTTACAAAATATAAGGGGGGGGGGGAGGTCACGATGCGTCATCAAAACATCTTAAGTTTGACCCAACGTGGCAACAGAGCTTTGACGACCGGATCACAGTTCCATGCACAGCCGGCGGCTAGCAACAGAAACAAGTAATATTAATAACATGATAAAGAAGAACAATTTGTTACATACATTTTAAACAATATTAAATAGTTAAATACAATTAATCGGAACCGTGATCGTTGTCGTCCCTTTGTTATCTATTCAACGACACCAGCACAAAGCTCTACCAAAAGCTCTCACTCGCCGGCTAACTGCTCTCCTGACTCGTTTCCACCGTGGCGCCGGAGCTTCCACACAAATTGCATTTTCTTGGCTTTCCTCGGCTGGACCTTCGGGAACGGCCATGACATCGCTTACCGGGACACGTTTCCACAGTGGCGCCGGAGCTTCCACATAAATTGCATTTTCTTGGCTTTCCTCGGCTGGACCTTCGGGAACGGCCATGACATCGCTTCCCGAGACACGTTTCCACAGTGGCGCCGGAGCTTCCACACAAATTGCATTTTCTTGGCTATCCTCGGCTGGACCTTCGGGAATGACCATGACATCGCTTCCCGGGACCCCCAAAGCAATTAACTCCATCAAGTCTTCCCAGGACTTGTGGCGTCCCCGGATCGAGTTGTCGTCGCCAAATGGCAGCTCATTGAAAAGTAGCCGTGCCGTCTCGAATTTCTCCGCTTGGTCTATCCAGTTTGAATGAACCGCCGGTTCAAAGTCGCCGTCTGCAAACTGGGTGGATGCCTCGCAAATTTCAAAAAGCCAAGTTTCAATTATCATGTCGTCGACTTCGATCGGCTTGTCTTCCTTCACTTGTGCAACGACGACTAATTGCTGTTCGGTCATTTTATCAGATAATATATCATAAAAAAAAAACAAAGGATAAGAAACGATAGGATAACAAAGGAAAGACAATATGTCACTGTATAGAGAACTGCGAAACACACAAATAATTTGTTATGAACACTTCGGGCTGTCTATTTCAAATGCAAAGACATCTCGTTGTCAACCTAAGTCGAGAAATCACTAAAACAACCAAACTATTTCCACACGGCCAGATATTTCCAACAAACTACGTTGATAGTGAATTATCAAATTTTAAATGAATGATTAAAATTTTTCCAATTCCGGCCATTTAAAGTACCGCCCTGGGCACAATTTCTGATCAATACACAGACATAATTAAAACACATTGTATCAAAAATGGTATTGAAACAAAGTCAAAAATAACAAATCTGTGATCAGTGTTTACACTGTTTGGATATGACTGATTTATGCTATACTGCACTTTACTGGACCTTCCGGTTTTTGACATTTTCATGTCTTTGCTCTGGCACATAACCTACAAAAGCGTTCTTTACAAAAGCGTTACCAAAAATGCGTTTTTTACCAAAGCGTTACAAAACCGTTACAGGGAGTAGGAGATAGGGGTAGGAGATGGAAGGTAGGAGATAGGGGGTAGGAATAACTGCACTGGTTTATTTTATTCGCTCTCGGTTTGTGTTAAGGTGTTTTATTTTACGGTACAAATTGCTCTGGAATTTTAAAGTATATTTTATTTAACTTAAAATACGTTATTTTTTTTTATTCAATTAAAAATTAGTTATGAGTATTACTCCGCAATGCTTTTCCGGTCGAATGACCGAAGATATTATTGGGTATTTGAAAGATTACGAACGAATTTCGGCAGCAAATACCTGGACTGACGGGCAAAAAGTAGTTATGTTTCCGCTGTACCTTAGAGAGGAAGCGAAGATTTTGTTTGAGAAGATAGAGGGTGAAACTAATACTTAACTTGGTCTATTTTAAAAAAGGTGTTCACGGAATACTATGATTCCGAGGAACAACGAGCGCTTTTAAGAGAAAATTTAAATAGGAGAAAGAAACGGCCGGAGGAAACACTACAGGGTTACATTTTGAAAGTACTGGGAGAGTGTAAACGAGTGGATGAGAAAATGAGTCAGAGAGAGATAAGTAAGATAATAATGAAGGGGTTACCTAAGGATTTATATTGGAGGATATATGCAATGGACAACTCTACGGTTGATAAGGTAATATCAAATATTAGGTCATATGAGGCGGACATGGCAGCAATTAATAATAATGGAAGCGAACTAGAATTATTGAGGAGAGAGATTGAGGTACTTAAAGTTAGCAAAGATAACGATATTAGTGATAAAGTAAGACGTTTAAGAGAAGAGCTTGAGGAACTTAAAGCTAACATGAATAATAGACCGTTTAAAAGTAATGGTAATTTTAGAAGAAATTTTAATAATTATAGAAATAATGGCAGTAAATTTAATGGTAACGGTGTAGGTAAACATTTTCACCAGCGCGATAATAATAATGATTATAAGAATAGAAGTTATCATAATGACGACACCGCATCCGATAGCAGATATGGACGAAATAGACCTAGGAGTAATTGAAGGGGTCCGTGCAAAAACGAGACAACTCCATTTTTTTAAACTTTTCAAGAAACAAAAAAAACTATTTTAAAAATATTGAGTTTAAGGTAAAACTAATGTTAATATCAATTAATATATATTAGACCATGATGAAAAAGATGACGTAGTACGTGATTTGATTAAGGTTTTTGATTTGAGATGTGAGCTAAAATTAACTCAAAATTGTTGGAGCTATCTTGTTTTTTGACCCGAACTTGTATTTATTATTTCAATTTTATTTTTATCAAAAAATTATTAATATTATTTTTGAATATTGATAGTACAAAAAACATGTGTCGACTACAGTGTAGACGACATTCGGCGCAAAAACCAGATAACTCTGGAGCTATCTGATTTTTCAATGGAAAAAAAAACCAGACAGCTCCAGTTCCATTATATTTCCTATACCGGTGGTCGGATTTGTCTCGTTCTTACACAGATATACTCGTCAAATTTTTCTTAATTGGAAACGGCCAAAAACCCATTTTCGCCAAAATTGGAGTTGTCTCGTTTTTGCACGGACCCCTTCAAATTTGTTATTTGTATTTTCTTAGTTTTATATTTTTTTGTTATTATATACCGAAAACACTATAGCACATGTAGCTCTCAAATATGCTAATTATTTATTACATTTTAATTTTAGTTGTGTATGATAAAATGTTTGTTAGTTTCCCAAAATGTAAAGTGAGGTGCTTTAGCTTCTTATTATTTCGTCATTGACGTAGTCACGTAGGTAATGCGAGATGAAGGACATCAAACATTAATGTGATGTTCTTATAAACTGATTATTTAACCGCTTCTGTCATCATCGTCGAAACACAGTGGACCGGAAATAAGATACTTCGACAGAAAATAATAATCGACGGGTGAAAAGATACGGTAGACGGCGGTTGTTGTAAAACCTACTTCGTAACGAATAAGTGTTAGAATACATTGTAGAAAGTAAGTTCTGTTTTATTTGCAGAGACGATTGAGCGCAAAGCCCCATGACTAACCTACGGAGTAGATTATCAATGTAATTTGATCTGTCAAAAGTACTCTAAGCCATCATTTTTAGTAAATTTGTCTTTGTATCGATATTCACGTAGTTTTTTCATCATTCAATTTCACTATGCTCAATTTTCCAAATAAGTATAGTCCGTTAAATTTGTAAAAGTAATATTTAACCTTACCTTTGTAACGTAGAAATTGATAAAGGGGTTGAAAACTGCGTTGCTTCTGAAAACAAAATCACATTTTTAATTTTAGATATTTAATGGTAATATATTTTGAATAATAACATGTAAATAACATGCCGAATAGATTAATTGTAAACAAATTGAGTGAACGCTAATTCAGTTTCTCTTTTGAATGTAATAAAGACAATTTTATTGAGTAGATGAATATTAATATTCCATTTTACGCGATTTAAAAAAAATAGACACATTTTTTAAAAAACTAAAAATCGAGGAAGAAATAAATTATTCATTTGAATTATTACAGCGAAGTTTACCATAAATTATAGCAAGAAAAGGAACAAACAATCGAAATATACCGTCTGTGGAAAATGTTTTGGTCAACCATTCCTCCAGATCAACCTATCTACTTCAAATGTTTTTCGTTTTTACTTTTTAACGAAGTGTTTTTGTTGGGATACGGGAAAACGCTAAGCCTGGATAAAATATTCAAACGCTTGGAAAATGATTTTATGCCGTCTAATGTTAACCATGTGGGCTTATTGGAGCTCATAATTATAGGTCACGCGGCTTATAGTGTTGACACTTGAACGGCTAAAGGCCACATCTGATTTCGATGACAGACCAACGACCGTTATCAACGTGGTCGTGACTCGACGACACAGGGTGGTTAAACGGGCTTAAAGCTTATGACGTATGACATTTCAATAACGATGTCGTCCAAAGACAATCACGATATGACTCTGCCGAGTACAACCACTGGGCTCTAACAACACTCGTGTAACGTTCATCACCGTTTCCGCAGCAGTACTTGTCACCCTCGCAGCCACGTGTTCCTCTTTGCCGTTTCGCGGACTAACAATACAATAATAATATCATCACTAACACTGCCAACGCCTTTTCAAATTATTAACCCTCAATGCCTTCTTCTGTACTGCCAATTATAGTTTAATACTTATTGCTATAAGTATCCTGTCAGATAATCGGAAGACATTTTTTAATGATTATATTAATTGTCTTTTACGTTTGGTTTTCAAACATAAATTCCGGAGTTACATATTTAACTGCAAGTAACGAGCAAGTCCAATATTAAACAAATAAACATTTTCAGAAAAATTAAAGAAAAAACAATTAAATATGATTTCAGTATTTTTTTTAAGTGTTTGACGTTTTATTCGTAAATATATTATAGAAAAAACATCTTGACTCATGACACTTGAAATTGTATAACATATCAGATTTAATTTTACGATTAGATGTTAATTAGATGTTAAAAGTGATTTCATTTTTCATTATAATTTTTGAATCGCAACATTTACATAATAAAAAAAACAGTACAGATGGGTAAAAGTGAATTATCTCCATGGTGTTGAATTTTTAATTAATGAAAGATATGTCTAAATGTGACTCATTAAGTAAAAATATGTAAATTTAACATTTTAACGTAACCACTTTTTCAATGAACGATCCATATAATGGTCGACGACTAGTGCCCAGAAAGTGATTGTAATTACTTTACACTAAAATGTCTTAAAATGTATTCAGTTTCTATATTTTTTCAATATTCGTAATTTCAGTTTATTATAGTAAAACAAAAAAAGACTTATTTGACACGAAAAAACCTTTTTTTTAATAAAACATTTTTTCGATATTTCATCCCCTAATAAATAGCCGGATTAATGAAGGGCTAATATTTTTTTTTATAATATCATTAATTATACAACATTGAGCTAATAAGACATTAACGATCTCAATATATTTAACCCTTCAATGCACATTTTTTAAAATTTTTGTATGTACAATTTTTACATAGATTAAATTATCAGGAATTTGGGAAAAATAAATAAAAGTTAAGAGTATCCACACTTCTTCATGCAGATACATCAATACATGGATATGTCCTAACATATAATTATATGATTACTCCGATCTATAATCTCCTTGCAATATATGATGATAGTATAGTCTTAATTATATGTTCTGGCCAAACGTTTTTTAGTAGTTTTATAATATCTGGCCTTAATCGATGTACAGGCAACATTTATCAATATTCAAAAATTCTCATAAATCAATTTCCGTAGTTTGCTAGTTAGTACGTGCCTACCTAACAAATTAATTTGACTATCCTTATATATATATTGTTATATCCTTATATATTCTGCAACTTGATGTATCTGCATGAAGTGTGGATACTCTTAACTTTATTTTCAGAATGACCATCCATAATTCATACCTATTATCTCTAATCTTATATATATACTTATTTATTTATTTATTAAATTAGAAATCGGGTTGAGTAACCCTATAACATAGTAAAAATACATAGTAATTATATAAGTAAAGAGAGAAAAAACACTTAATGACGTAATGGTAATGACGTCAGCACTGTGGCACTTAACATGTCGCAAATTTTCAGAATGACCCCCAGCCATAAGACAAATCCATGTAAAAAATATTAAGTAGGAAAGGATTGAACTTCACCATCGTGGCAGTGTACGTTTCGCACTTCTCGAGGCTATAACAGAAAAGAAGGAACACTAAGCACAAGGAAGAGACGGTGAATGCGGTCGCATCCGGTATTGACTAGTAAAGTTTTCGATAGTCAACTGCCGGAGTCGCGATGCAACTGATTCGCTGTCTCAGTCCAATGTTATCCCGATGTTGTTATTATAACAACACCGACATAAACAACTACCGAATGCTCGACATCGCTGGCTAACGGTTCTTCCGGCTCGTTTCCACAGTTGGTCGCCGAATTGCGAGAGCCTTCACACAAATTGGTAATTGTGGTTCTTCGAAAACGGCCTCGACCATTTGCCACGATGGAACATCCTTAAATTCGTTTTCCGGGATTCTTGATGTAATTAACTTCACCAAGTCTTCCTAGGACTTATAGCGTACCCGTATGGAGTTCTGAACGTCAAACGACAACTCGGCAAAAAGTAGCCGGCAAGCTTTGGCTTTCTCTGTTACCGAGACACGGGCCGTCGACACCGAACCGAACAGGGAACTGTCTAGAGCCAGTTTCCAATTATCATTTCATCGGCTCCCGGCGATACATCATCGGTCAGCCCGGCACGACGATCAATAACCGTTCGATCATCTTGTAAAAATGAGTAAACAACAATAAAGTAATAAAGAAAAGTAATATGAACTAGTTAACAATGCAGAATGAAAGGAAAATATAATACGTTTTGTTGTTGTAAGAATAAAACTGAAAGTTGCAGTACAAAACATTTCGGGCTGTTGTTGTTGCTGTTCGGGATGCCTCAATGGTCTCAAATTTCACATAGGCGTCGGTAGATGAATGGAGCTTGTAATTATTATATACCTATAGCCGTCCGGTGATTAACGATTTAGAAAACACATATCCAAGGGCCTAAGGCAGAACATTAGTTAGTCCTAGGCTCTTGGCCTTTACGAACTATAGTTTTAAAACTAATACAGTTAACATTTAAGTTAAACTTTTATAGTACCTGCATCAAAATTAGTTATTTTTGTTTGTATAAAAAACAACAAAATTTCCTATAAGTTATCTCTGTTATTGGTTCACATATTATTATAAAAAATCAATCATTTAATTCGACAGTATAAAAGTTAAAAAAACGAAGTAAGTCTAAACCAGTACAGTACAAATCAGCACAGTAAAAAATAAGCATAGTTCTTCAAGGTGGTTTAATCATATTCAAATCCTTCGGTGAGAATCTAATGATAGTAAGATCACAGTAAAGTACAGGAGGGAAGGGTTATCGAATTTTGGGTTATTAAAGTTTTTGAAAAGGTTCATGCCTAATACATTTTTTATAAACATTTTGGCTTGATCCGGCCGGTTTTCGCAAAGTCATGGAAAGTCCAAAGTAAAAGTTGAAAAACCGGCAAATTTGTTTACGCTTTTCCCACCAAACTAGCAAAAGCATACGATTTTGGATCTATAAACGTATTACTCGAGTAAATCGGTCCAAAGAAAAAAAAAACTATTGTGATTATGCAGATAAAAAAATAAAACAATATTGTATAACCAATACATTCTTAGCTTCGTATTGAAGGCTTAAGCTAAAATTACAGTATAACTAATCAAAAGTTAAAAACTTTTAATTAATTGTAATTTCTATGAAATTTGCAATGGTACCACTTTTATACACTTCTATATAATATGCCAAGAAAAAAATAAGCAACAATGTTAAATCGATCGTATAATATAAAAACTGTTGAACATGCTTAGTTGTTTTAAAATGTTAACGCCAATTTTACTACTAAATGAAAACTTAGAGAATGTCGGAATTAAAGAATGAAGATAAGAGTTTATGATCAGTAGAATAAATAAAATTGGTTGTTATGAAAACAATAAAAAATATATGTTTATTACTTATAAATTACTCAGAACTGTAATATTGGTTAGAATGAATTTGCATAAATATGGTAAATGTTATTATTACCGTCAACCAAATTACGTATCTTAGTGGAAAACTTGTGGAACACATGTTTAGCTTACTGATTTATTAAACTATGAATTTAGTGTTTCAAATTAAAGCTCTAAAACATGTACTTGTTTTCTGTAAAATTATCGTTCTTGAGTACATTAATAAATATTGGACAGATTGAAACTGGAAGTATACTTTTTAGATTAATTTAATTAAATACCTACATCTCGTATTATTATTTTTTTTTTTTGTATAAGCATATTCTAATTTTTACATTGAGTGAATATATATTTCCTTAATTTATTACACGTGAACTAAATTATTTCAAATTTGAATTACTATAATAATAAAGTTACACTACAGTTAAACATTACAATTCTAAAAAATGTCTAACCTAATGACATAAATTAATAGATTACATTAAAATGTATAAAAAAGATTGTTTGAAATCCTTCAATGAGAAAGTATTCTAGTAAAACTCTTAATTATTTTGAACTACAAAAAAAATACCCGAACATCCAATTAAAAATTATTTTAAACTCGAATTTAGGTTTTTAAGTGTATTTTATTAAGAGTATTTATACATTAGGTACCTAACTCTACACTTAATATATATTACTAA